CACACACACACACACACACACACACACACACACACACACACCATACACGATAGCAACAACTTGCATACATAGAAGGTGTCACCAAATCCTTGCCAGCTGTCTGGCTGGACTTACGGAAAAGGTGTCATGAAGCCGGTGGCAGCCCTACTCCTTGGAGACTTGCCCTGTCTACGCTTTCCCAAACAAACAAGGTGCCATGACTGCTCAGCAGCTAGACAGTCGCTGGCCATGGGACATGGGACTCAGCAGTAAAAACAGAATCAGATCTGAGCCACACTCACCGGTCACGCCCACGGTGGACACGGGACCCACACGCTGACCATCATGGAGTCCATACAGGTTCATCTTGTATTTGCGCCCAGGCTCCAGGTCTCTCACGGTGGCCTCCCTCTCCTGGCCCCCGACACGCACCACCTGGGGACGCCCATCACTGTCCTTGTACTGCACAGTGAAGGAGTCAAAGTCTCCCTGGGGGACGGTCCAGGAGAGGCTCAGGGAGTCTGGGGAGGATCCTGTCACAGTCAGCTCTCCCAGGAGCGGCTCCTCGCGGGGCTCTGGGGCCTCTGTGCTGGGCTCTGTGGGGCTGGGGGTCTCTTCCTCTGCAGCTGAGAAGGAGGCAGAGAGGTGAGGCAGGGTCCCCAGCCGGTGTCCTTGGCTTCTGAGGAGAAGCTATGGCTACCAGGGAGGTCCCAATGTCAGTTCAGAGATGTCCCCCACCTTGGGCCTGGTGGCCCTGGTCAGCTCACAGCTGGCCACATGCCCAAGCTCCTGGGTCAGCTGAGGGGACCTGGACAGCACCAACAGAGAAGGCCTCTGTGGCCCTGCTGCCTAGGGAGACAGACCAGTCCCAGGGTGGGCAACACAATAGTAAGCCATAGCTTCAGCCAAAACAGACCTGGGAGACTGACCAATCCTTGGCCACTATTCCCCAGTTACTAGACTCCAGAGAGCTGTAGGTTCTATTTCTTGATGGATCCCACCCTGGACTCCCACAGTCCACTCACCCGTCACCCCGACAACAGACACGGGGCCCACACGCTGGCCACTGTGGATGCCATACAGGTTCATCTTGTACTTGTGGTCTGGCTCCAGGCCGGGGATGGTGACCTGGTCCTCGTGCCCTGGGACCCGCACCACCTTGGGCTGCCCATCCCCGTTCTTGTACTGGATCACGAACTGGTCAAACTGTCCCTCGGGGACTGTCCAGGAGAGGCTCAGGGAGTCAGGGGTGGCGTCTGTCACAGTCAGCTCTCCAAGGCGTGGCTTCTCGAGGGGCTGTGGGGCCTCAGTGCTGGGCTCTGGGGGGCTGGAGGGCTGGTCCACAATGTGTGGTGGTGCTGAGGAAAGAAAGCAGGATCACGGGTGTTAAGAGTGACCCGTCAATCAATGGGGACACCAAAACACACCAGCATGTCTGTCCCTCCACGAAGGCTTAGGGCTCCTGTGGCCTTGGCACCCAACACCCAGTTTCTGAGGCACCCTTCTGAGGCAGCCTGTTCCTTCCCTGCACCAACCAGACCCTTCATCTTTATGGAAAGCATTGCTGAGGCAGGGCCACTGCCCGGAAGGCAAGCGAGTTGGAATCAGGTAGGTGGGCCTGAGAAGAGTCCTGTTCCCTCCTGGATGGCTTGGGATACACAACTCCCAGGGCTCCCACCCAGCACCCTACCTACTATCCCTGCAGTAAGTCTTCACAGGGTTCCCTGAGGGACTGAGACCCTGGCGACACAAGAACAGGAGGGGAGGGGAGGGAGCAGACTAGAGGCAGTGACAATGGGGTTATGGGGGGCAGTCAGGAACAAAAGGAGGGGGTGGGGCGGCAGGGGTGGCTCGGCTTCCCAGAGTTTGTGCACAGGTGTTCTGAGCCGGAGTCAACTGATCCTCTGATTTATTCATTCATTTTTAGGCAAGGTCTTACTGTGCAGCCCAGCCCGTCCTGGGACTCAACAATCCTCTTGCCTCAGCCTTCCAGGCGCTGTGATTACAGGCAGGTTTTACCACCATGCCTGGTTTGAACTTGCTGTGTATACTGACAGCGCCAAGGGGTGTCACCATCAAGGCCCCCACTTGGCAGAAAGGAAGCTGGGAATGGCACGGTTAAGGGACCCGCCCAAGGTCCTGTGGGCACTGATTTATGAAGCCGACAGAGAGGGACGGGCAGCTGCCTGCGAAGTCCCTGCTCCCTAGCGGTATAGCGGTATATCGCCAGCAGAAGGCAACCGTGCTGGATGGATAGGAGTGTCTGGGGACATGGAACAGGATAGACAGAAAGATTGGAGGCAGCCTGACTAGGGGTTGGGGAATGGAGGCTAAAAGGAGTCCTCCCCATGTAGAAGAGGCTGGAGCACCATGGCGCCCTGGTCCCCTGGGTCTGCCACCCTTGGCACAGAGCAGCCACATGGTGAGGGTGCAGGAGTGGATGGCAGAAGCCCGCAGGGACAGCCAGGGACTGAGTCGGGCCCTGAAGCAGTGCAGTATAAGTGGCTGTGAACTGGCTGAAGGAGAGGGTATCTGGGAAGGGCATGGAGTACAAGAGGGGTCTGGCTGTTCGGAATGGGGAAAATGGACTTAGAAGCCTTGTGAAGAGCTGGAGCCCGGGCAGGGAGTCCTGGGACGTGGGGACGTAAGAGCAGCTTGGAGGAGCTGAGCTGGGGCAGACTCTGCCTGGGAGACGCGTGGGGCTCTGACTCACCCGTTTTGGCCACTACAGACACGGGCCCCACACGCTGCCTGCCACGAAGCCCGTAGAGGTTCATCTTATACTTCCTGTTGGACTCCAGGCCAGGGACCGTGACCTCGTTCTCATCTCCCGCGACGGGCACTGTCTGGGGCTGCCCCTGTGCATCCTTGTATTGGATCACAAAGGAGTCGAAGGGGCCCCGGGCCACCGTCCAGGACAGACGCAGGGAGTCTGGGGTCATGCCAGTCACTGTCAGCTCCCCCAGGAGGGGCTGTTCCGAGAATCCCTCTTCCTTTGCTGGGGCTGCAGGCAAGAAGAATGAGCCAGGCACAGAAGCAGCAGCCTGAGATCTGGGTTCAGGTTTGGACCTGGGGGTCACCATGCCATTAGCATGAGTGCTGAAACCCCGGGAAACTGGGCACAGCCAGAGTATGACACACCTCCTGGGCTTTAGGGAGCGCACTGAAGGGGATAGAAGGGGCCTCGCTGTGCAGGGGAAGCTGGCTGCCCCTCAGCCTGGGAGCAGGGCCAGGGTGTTGGGATCAGCCATTTTGCTGGGAGGCTCAGCTGGTCCCTGGCTGAGGGTGCATGTGGAGACAGCTTAGGTGGCTGCCACTCACCGGTAGTGCCGTCGGCTGTGAGGGGTCCATACCGCTTCTTATTGGCAACCCCAAACAGAGTGAATCTGTACTTGTGGTTGGGATCCAGTGGGGAGACCACCACTGAACGCTCAGGCCCCTCCACTGGTACCACGAGGGGCCGTCCTTCCTTGTCTCTGTACTGGACCAGGAAGGAGTCAAACTGGCCCTCAGGAACAGTCCAAGAGAGGTGCAGTGAGTCCGGGGTAGGGTCTGTTACCCACAACTCTCCCAGGCGGGGTGGGGATCCTGGGCTGGGGTCACTCTGAAGCACTAGGAAGAGAGAGTAGGACCAGGGAGTCACAGGAGAAAGGAAGCCCTCGCAGCCACTCTCTGTACAGAGACAGAGGGACCAGGAGGACTAAAATCCAGCCAGTCCTCTGCCGAGCTGTGAGCTCTCCTAAGAGGCTGGACCCGATTACAGGAAGGAGTGACACCTTCCAAACTGCCTAGTTCTCTGTAGTGTTGCACTAACTGTTCCCAGCCAAGGAGAGGAGGCTCCGAAAGGGGAGGGGAGCCCAGCCAGCCCTTTCACATCTGTGAGGCCAGGGAAATTCACTGAGGCAGCCTCACGCTCCCAACTTGACTTCCAGATAGTTTCTCCTTCAAGAGACAACATCCATGGGGCATCAGTGCAGGAAGCAACCACCCACCTGCTGCTGTCTGCCACGCCTGTCCCTGGCTGTACCCACTTTCCGAGCACATCTCTCTGTTCCCAGAGGATTCTAGAAATGTCTCCAGTCCAGCTCTGCCCTCCACTAGGCAGCTTCCGGTGACCTGGCCATTGCTAAGTCCCGTGGACACTGAAGAGCCCTAACTCACTCCCGTGGACTCTGACTGGTGGTGCCCTCCTCCCAGCATCTGGGACACAGCCCTGGTGTTTCTCTCCCTCTGTTCACCTCATTTGCTCCCTACTTCCCACAGCTTCCAGGACTCAGTGCAACCCTGAGGTCTCCCAAAATTCTTCCAGGCACCTGTTTTGCCTCAGTTAGGTGCCTCTCAAGGCTGCTGTAAGGACCATGGTCGTTCAAGAACACGCTGAGCTCTCTGGCTCCAGAAACACACAGGAAGTATTTCTCTGAGTGTCCCACCCTGTATTGCTCCCCACCGGCTGCTGCCTGGGGACAGAAGTGGCTGATCCAGGGACCTGGGGCTGGCCTGGGCCTCCAGGCTCTCCTCTCACACCCAGTCCCACTGTCAGGGTTCCAAGCCATCAGCCAGTCACACCAGCTGTTGACTCCATCTCTGCCACGCCCCTGCAGCAGACACTGTGCTATTTGTAAGGTAGCTCATCCGGAGGCCTTCAGAGGTCCCTCGGGGTTCCCAAACGAGGCCTACGCCATCCCACGCAGCTCATAGAACCCTTGGACTAAGTCCTCCAGCACCCCTCGTGTCCTGCTCTCCAGCCAGAAGAGTGCTGTGGGTTCTCTGCCTCACAGGCCTCCTCACCTCGGCTGCCTCCACCACTTTCCCTTCAGGGTTGATTTCACCCGGCTACAGCCCCAGGCTGCTGGGAGCTGTGTGTATCTCCCTGGACCCGACAGCTCTGGGGCAGCCTGCCTGCCTCAGCATAGTACAAAGTACAGGGCTGGGGTGCCTGTTGCCACTCACAGATCTTGGCTTCAGCCACCAAGGGGCCATGCTTCTTCTTGCCGATGAGCCCATACAGGATAAATCTGTACTTGCGCCCCGGTTCCAAGGATGTCACGGGGGCTGAGCGCTGCGGTCCCTCCACGGGTATCACCTGGGGCCCGTCTTTGTCCTTGTACTGGATGACAAAGGAGTCAAACTCCCCCTCTAGGACCGTCCAGTGCAGGAGCAGGGAATCAGAGGTCAGGCTGGACACTGTCAGCTCACCCAGGCGTGGCAGGACTGATGGCTTCCCAGGCTGCTCCTCAGCCCTGTCTGGTGTTTGGGGACAAAGACAAAGCATGCTGGACCAACCATTCCCTTCATCCTGTCGCCTACCCTCTGCTCTGCCTCCCTCATCCCATCCTGGATACCTCCATCCCTGCCCCTCCCGGGAAGGAGACATTTCCCTAAGTGTCTGTCCTCTCTTTATGTCCCCACCCCTGTACCCTAAGACTTTAAGGAGAGTTTCACGTCCCCCATGGTATGACTTAAGAGTTTCTAGCCTCCCCACTGATGCTTCAGAGCAGTCTTCAGGCTCCCCAAACCCCTGAGCTGCTCTCTCCCTTGTTTCCCTCTCTCCCAGTTGTCAACTTGTTCTAGAACTGGGCCAAAAGCCAACCACTCTAGTCTCACAGGGAGAACCAGGGGGGTGTAAGGGTTAGGCATCCCAGGCCTTGTCCTTTCCTACCCATCTCTGAAGTTCTGATGGCAACAGAACCCCCCAACACACACACACACACACACACACACACACACACCCACACACCACACAATCACACACACACATACCACACACACCACACACACACACACCACATACACACACACACACCACACACACACACACACACACCACACACACACACACAGACACACACACACACATACCACACAGACACACAGACACACACACACACATCACACACACACATACCACACACACCACACACACACACACCACACACACACACACAGACACACACACACACATACCACACAGACACACAGACACAGACACACACCACACACACACCACACACACACACACACACACACACACACATACGCACCCCACACACCACACACACATATCACACACACACATACCACACACACCACACACACACACCACATACACACACACACACCACACACACACACACACACAGACACACACACACACACATACCACACAGACACACAGACACAGACACACACCACACACACACCACACACACACACACCACACACACCCCACACACACACACACACACCCCCCACACACACACACACAGCACACACACACATACCACACAGCCACACACACACCCCCCACACACACACACACAGCACACACACACATACCACACAGCCACACACACACCCCCCACACACACACACACAGCACACACACACATACCACACAGCCACACACACACCCCCCACACACACACACCCACACCACCCACACAACCCCCACACACCCCACACACACACACACACCATACACACACCACACACACACCACACACACACACCCACCACACACCCACCACACACCCACCACACACACACCACACACACACCACACACACAAACACACACCCTCCACAAACCCCACACCCCACCCACCCCCACACCCCCCCCACCCCCCCCACACACCCCCCACACCCCCCCCACACACACACCACACACACACACACCACACACACACCACACACACCAGAAGACTTTATCCCCAGAACCACAGGTGCTGTCCCCGGAGACAGTTAAGCTGAGGGCCAGTGCTGGGACCAGCGCTCCATTTGCCTTGAACTGTGCGGCCCAGGGCGGAGCAGAGGACAATGGGAAGGGGGCATACATAGAGCAGGGTCTACTACAGCCTTCTGGATGGGTCACGCCCCACCTCTGACTCTCCTCCAAGGGCGTGGTGTCATTGTGAGTCCCCTCCTAACCCTTCTCTATCAACTCTCAAACCTTCTCTTTTGCTTTCTCTTATTCTCCAGTCATACCTGCCCTTCGCTGTTCCCTGAAACCCTGTCCGACTTCCAGAGTCTTGAGATGGCCCCAGCTCCTCCCCCAGCCTCAGGACACTGCTCTGAGCATAGTCCAGAATGTACCCATAATGCCTTGGTAGGTGATGGGAACAGAGGGCTTGCCCCCAGGGGTGATCCCCTGGAGGAGCAGCTTGTAGGGGGCTCCCGGAGGGGGCGGGGGCACCAGAGCCTGGCGGACGTCTCCTGGTAGCAGTTCTTCGTGTGCCCAAGGCCCCTCGGCCACCTGCATGCGCAGCTGGAAGTGGCTAAAAGTGCCGGGCTGGGCAGTCCAGGCCACACGGAGGCGCCCCGCCTTGTCTCTGCCCAGCACCTGCAACTCTCCCAGCGGGTGGTGCTCCAGGATCAGGATAGGGGCCTGGGCCCCTTGGGTCGTAGAGGGGCCTGAGGGAGGAGGCTCATCGGTAGCCTCCAAGAGGCCAGAGGGTAAGGACCCTGAGGAAGGGGCAGAGCGGGTAAGAGAAACAGGAGAGTCGGGTATGAGAGCAGGAACGGCACCTGTGGTCCCCAGGTGCACCCTCGGCCTCTGAGCTAGGCGCTTTCCCTCCCCTCTCCTGAGCAGCTCCCCCGCCCTGTCTGGGGTTCAGGAGGCAACCAACACTTCTTCCCATACTTGGCCGATCCTCCAGCTTATCTGGAGAAGTCCCTGGCTTAGGACAGGCAAGGACGTGAACCCTGCCATCCCTCCCTGCCCACAAGCCTCCCCCACCGGTGGTCTCCGCCTTCCATTAGTGCTGCGGTGAGAAGCCTGGAAGAAAGGAGGGGCAGTGGTGTTAGGAAGAAAGGGGGGGTGGGCAGAAAGGGGAAAGAGAGGGCGTGAGGGTGGACGTCCAGTTCCAGTGGCATCTGGGCCCTATGGAGGAAGAAGAGGTCCACACCCACCCTGCAGCCACAAAGCACCCTGTCCCTGGGCCAGGCATCAGTCCTGTGGGAGAGACCAGCTGGAGGGGAGCCACGTCTGGGAAAGCAGTTCAGGAAGCCGTGGTTTCACCCCACACCCCCGCCATCCACAAACGCTACCCCATGGCTCTCAAGGCCACCCTCAAGCAGTTCTCTTGCCGTCCCTTCAAAGCCAACCACAGACCACAGGCTTCAGGCGCCCTCACCGCAGTGAGTCAAAGTGGGAATCGCTGGTTTCCATCCCACACAGGGCAACTGCAGGGCACATACCTACAAATGCCACAGCCTTCCGCAGCCTGCATCGGAGGTGTCTAAGCTGCGGTCGCTGTGATGCAGCCCCACACTAAACTATAAACTTTCCAAAAATAGTATGAGATGGTGGTTTTGTGGTTTTACAGTTTTTTGTTTTTTGTTTTTGTTTTTGTTTTTTCAATAAGAAAAAGAAAAGAAAACTCAAGTGTAAGGTATGAACTTGGCGGACAACATCGTGTGACTATGTCAAGATGTTGGACTTGCCTGGCAATAGTGGCATTGCCAAAGAGCTGGGGAGCCCAGGTGTGAGCCAGGGAACCCCACCCTCAGGAGAATGCCAGGACCCTGGCATGGGGGTGGCTTTTGGGACACTGGAGGGCAGCTTTCTGTGGTAGTGTCCTGCAGCCTGAGCCAGGCAGGCTAGGAGGAGGAAGGGCGCGGTGAGGGGTGGAGGAGGCCTAAGCGGTGAGACAGTGGGAGGTGTGGGGGGGGGGGGGGGGGGGGGGGGGGGGGGGGGGGCGGGGGGGGGGGGCCGGGGGGGGGGGGGGGCAGTCCAGGGCCCCAGCCCACACTACCTGTGGTGGTGATGAAGGCGTAGGATTTGGATGTCTGCCCTGCCCGCACCCCATGGACTTCCACGTGGTAAGTGGTGCCAGGCCTGAGGTTGGGCAAGCGGACAGTGCGTTCAGAGCCATCCACAGTCAGCTCCCCGCTGGGGCCCTCGGCGGGTGGCAGTGGCCGCCAGCGCAACACCACACGCTCGAACTGGCCCCGGAGCCCGTCGAGGGACACGATCAATGCTCCATCGACTGCACTGCCCAGCACCTCGGGCTTCGGGTGACGCGCTGTGGTCACCAGGTGTGCACCATCGGATGCTGGGTCCACGTCTCCCTGGTTCGAGTCCCACTTCCCGGTGCTCTGGGTGGGACTAGCGGTGGGGTGGGGCTGATGTGGCTTGGATGCCGGGGCACC